TTTCCTTTTCTTTTTTTTTTTTCTTTTTTTTGTGTTTTTGAAAACACAAATAATAAAAAAATTTCAAAACATTCATTGTTTACAAATTGTTTTCATCTTTGTTCCAAAATAGTTTTAAATTTTTTTTGAAAATTTCTTTTTAATATTTCTTAAAAAGTGAGTTTTCTTATAAACTTTGCTTCAGACCCCTAGTGAGAAGCACTCCCAGTGACCCCCCAGTGCCACGTGTCGGCCTAGGGTGGCTAAAAAGAAAAAAAAAAAAAAAAAATTTTACTGACCAATCACAACCGATCCGTAGCACCCACGGGAGGTCGGAGGCTTTATTCTTTTCTTATATAAAAAGAGAAACACGTTTATTATCCGTTGAAAAAGCATGCATGTTGACTTAAGATCCGATTAACCTGAGCTTGCACGGAAAACTTACACCTTATGCGTGTTGAGACCAAATTCAGATAAATTAACCCTTCGTGTAGGAAAGGCTAAGGTAATTTGATTTTTTTAACTAATTTAATAAAAGTTAAAACGTTATAAAATTATTTAAAAAGTCAAAAATTTTATATTATTTAAGAAAAGTTTGTGGGGAAATTCTAGAGAGCAAAATTATTATTTTGCCTTTTGAATTTAATTACTCAAAAGTCAAAAAATCAATAAGGGTAAAATGCTTATTTTGATTTTATTATAATATTTTATTATATATATTTTCATAAAAAATTAAAAATTTATTCCAAACATATATATTTTTTGCTCTACGTTTTTAGTCAAAAAATTAAAAAATATATTTATATAGCACATTCCAAACAACCCTTAGTTTCGTTTGAGAAGATTTTTTGATTTTTTTTGGATGTAATGGTTGAGAAAAAATAAAAAAGATTATGATTTGAATGTACCATTTTATCTTTTTAGTTAAATTAATTTAATTTTATCTTTTTATACTAATTTAACCATTTTAACCCTTCTCAAACAAAGCCTGAGATGCAACGTCTCCTTTACACCTCTCCCTAAGTCGTGTATAGGCGTCTAATATATATTGGGTATATAGGTCTGTTTAGTGGAACTTTTTTTAAGTTAAAAATTGATAATAAAAAAACATTAGATCCATTTGATAGAGCTGTGGGGAAGTGATTATAACTTATAGGTTAACAGCTTATAGCTTATAACTGTGAACATAAGCTGATTTTTGACTTATAAATCAAGTTTTTCTTCCCATACTCAAAGAATCAGTTGATTTTTGACTTACAAAAAGTTATAAACTGTATTGTTAAGTTGAACCAAATACATCAAAATAGCTTAAATTAAATTAAAAGCTGAAATAAACTGGAAATAAGCCATACCAAACAGGGCCAATAGCTAAAAACACTCTTATCCCAACATCTTATAACAAGTTCAGATGGGAGTGAAAGAAGAGGATAGTACTCTTACCAAGATTATGCCTTCTATAGAACGTAATAATAATTTTTATCTCAGTTTTTAAATAATCAGCCTTTTCAACTTATTTAAGTTATTCTATCTAATAAATTATAAATAGAAATTACACCAAATAATCTAATCTAACCTCCAAAATTAAGATAAACTATAATAAAAAAAACTGTAATAAACAATTCCATACACGCCTTAAACAGTCTCAAAACAAATGTTGCACATGTTAGAGGAATAATACACGTTGAAGGCAAGCGGAGTCCCAAATTTTTTTCCCACCAGAGTAGCATACCCAATCTTAATAAATTTAATAATAATGAATATGGTAAAAATCATTGAAGTATTCCAAAGACGGTAAGAGAAGTGATATGCAAAGAGGTAAGTAGAATGCTCTGAATATGTGCTTAGAGGAGATCTAAATAAGTGTATTTTTTTAATTTTTGTAAAAAGATGTGTAGAAAAAATAGAGATATAATGTGATTTAAAAAAGATAAAAAGATAAAAAATATTTACTTATTAGTACACCCTAAACAATATGTAAAATATTCTGAATAAATTATTCATATAAAGAATTAAATTAATATAAAATCAACAACTATGTGATAGAATCACAGTTGTCTTTAAAAAATTGAATGACAAATGTGAATTTATTTTAAGAATAAACTATCTAAATTTTTTAAGACAAATATAATGATAAGATTATTAATATCTGATTAACTTAATTTTTTACATAAATAACAAAGCCAATAGATCTTACAAAATCAACTACTATTCAAATAATCTCAACAACCCAAAGTGAAACCCACCAAAACTTTGAGGGAAAATCCCTTGGACCCCTGATGGGAGCGACCCCACCTTCTGATTTTTGATTGGTTGAAAATTGTTATTTTTTTTTTTGAACTTGCTCACACGGCCCCACGTGGAGGGGGGCACTGGGGGGTCCCAGCAGTGCTCAACTTTGAGTTACAGCTAAACCTGTGTGCTTTGAGCACAAGAGGTAACCCAAACCCTATCTACATCTTTGGCATAATTTTTTTAGGTTAAAATAGTTATAAAAAGATAAAATAGATTAAAAAATTAATAAAATAAAATGTCACATTTAAATTATAATTATTTTATTTTTTTTTATAAAAATCAAAAAAATTTAAAAAATTATTCCAAATAAAATTTTTTAGTACTAATCTAAAAAAATCAAAAAATTAAAAAGTTAACTCACATTCTAAATGAAGCCTTATTATCTGTCACATGGCAAATAAGTTATGCATTGTGGACCCGAATAAGGGCATATAACCTAAGTCACATGGTGATCTACATGATCACGTAAAATCCTATGACAAATAAAGAACCACATTGTGGGGCCCAAATACACGTGAAGCCCATTCCAAAAATATTCGATGCTTCCTCATACAAAGAACTTCCTGACCCCAATAGTCACACCACCCCCCATGACCCTCATCATGTCCATATAAACTCAGCCAACCCATCTTCTTAGCTAACGGTCATCCGCTCCCATACCCTTTGTGTTTGTGGCCTCAAAATCACATCTTTTTTGTATTTCTTTGTTTCAGATTATTTTGGATTGTGAATTCAACCTAATTCCATAATTCTAGATTATTGTGTATTCATAGTTTTATATATATATATATTTTGTATGAAATTATTTTTAAAAATTCGAAAACCACTCTTAGAAAATAAAAATATATAGTTTTCAAAAATAATTTGCCAAACAAGATTTTGTTTTTTGAAAAATGATAACAGAAAATACAGAATGACAACACAACCAAAGATACAATTATTTTTCACAAATTATTTTTTCTACACTTATTAAAAAAAAAATATTAGGTCGAGAACTTTTTTTTGTAGAATAATCCCTTTTTTTCATCAGGGCAAGGGAAAGGGGGGTTGTGGGTTTCGGGTAGAAAAAAGAAAAAAGAAAAAAGAAAAAAGAAAAAGAAAAAGAGTAATGATAGTAAACAGAAATTCTGTACAAAATTTTCAAAGATGTGCGTCTTCATGCTCCTTTCATATTTTTTTTTTGGGTAATGCAGGTGTCCGAATCAGCTAGTGCACATCTTGATTAATTCTGATTAATTCTTAGGGGACTAATCCCACCATCCACTAGCATTTCCGATTAATTCTTAGGGAACCAATCCCACCATCCACTAGCAGGAGCCCATTTAAAGCCAGAGCAAAGTTCTGTATAGACTGGCCCAACATAAGAGTTGATAGCATCTAAGAAGTTTTGAACCTGAGACCTAGAGAGGAGCAAACTCCTAAGTCCCAGGCCTTCACCACTAAGTCTCAAGCTCCTTTCATATTTAACTGAGCAATAGTAGAGATCTTAAAAATTTTATTAAAATTTTTATTAAATCTTTTATATGGGTGTGTGACTCACATTAATGTCTCACATGGGTGTGGGATCTACATATGTGGTCTCATATTCCTGTGAGACATTTGGTAGAACTTTTAATAGAATTTTTGAGATCTCTAACATTTTTATTAACTAAAACATTCTTAATTATGACTTATAATTTTATCATTGTTACCGCCACATTATTTTGGTTGAGGTTATTGTAAGAAGGGCAAATTACACTAACAGTCCTTAAATTTTGGGGTTCGTGCCACTTTAATTTTTAATTTTTCAATTGTGACACATTTGATCTTGAATTTTGAATCTTATTTTAAATAATGACAATTGAAGATATTATTTGCTTAATTTTAAGGATAAAATTATCAAATTGATAAAATATAAACTAATTTGATAAAAATAAATGTCAAAAAAAATATTATTAAAATTTTAAAAATTATTTCCACCAACCAAAGATAAAAATATGTAAAATTGATTAATATTTTAGACATTATTTATTTATTTTTATCAAATTAATTTTTATTATATGTTTGGATGATGATCATTTAACGGGTGGTTGTTAGGATTTTAATGTGTAATCGATATATTTAATATATAAAATATTTTTAGTTTTAGATTTTTTGATTTAATGAATTAGTTTAATAATGATATCAAAGTTGTCGTTATATTTGACTTTTAGAAAAATAAAAACTAATTTAATGAAAATAAAAAACAATCACCTCATAATCCAAACATATAATAAAAATTAATTTGGTAAAAAAAAATAAAAAAATGTCTAAGTGATTTATCAATTTTACATAATTTTATCTTTAGTGGGTAGAAATAATTTTTAAAAATTCAAAAATATTTTTTTGACATTTATTTTTATCAAATTAATTTATTTTATCAAATTGAAGATTTTGTCCTTAAAATTAAATAATAGTATCTTCAATTATTCTTATTTAAAATAATATTTAAAATTTAAGATCAAATATGTCACAATTAGAATGTAAAGAATTAAAATTACATAAGTCCAAACTATAGAGGCCATTATTGTAATTCGCCTTTGTAAGAAAAATCTGTTTCCAAACCATTAATGCACTTTGATTGGGCTGATAGAATTATTTTGGCACAATCTAGTTGACTAGAAATATGCCAACACAAATAAGCCCAAACCCAAAGCACTTGAAACATAAGTCCAATGTAGTTGAGACTGGACTCTCAAAACTTGCCCAATTTCGTAGGCCTGGGCATGAATTGTAGTGGTATAACTGACATTTCATCAACCGAAGGTCTTCCACCTGTTCTCTTCTCTGCTTCGTCATTTACAAAGCTCTCCCAACTGTTACGAACTACCAAACTGACCAACTTCGATTTCATCGCCAACCCTCCATACATATATACATATATATCATCCATCTCTCTCATAAGCTTTGTCTTCACAGAGCTCGCCGATAATCACGAGGAGATTCGCTTCAGTTTCAGCTATCGATCGATCTCTCTCTGGCATAGAACGGTAATCAGCTTGTAGATTTTGATTCTTGTGAAATGTGGTTTGAGTTTGGTGATTTGATCGTTTGTTGAACCATTGTTGTGTGCTATTGAAGCATTAAGCTTTGATTTTTGCCGTTTTTTTTGGATTTTTGACGATTTTGGAGACATATCAGAGTAATTGTTGGTGATCTTGAGTAATTTCTCAGTAGATTAATTGCATTTGTTGTATTTTCTGGGGGGCTAAACTTATCTGCATTGTAGATGTTGTAAATATACATGCTTTTTCTCTATGTATTCTTGTTCAATGAATTGAAACATCATAATTATTAATTCGTAAATCTGCTATATATTTGTAAATATATATCTATATACTCAGTTGTTATGAACTCAAATTGAAGCGGTGTAACACAAATTTTAATACCGAAATGATCCAAATTTATTTATTTATTTATTTAAACAATTGTTTAAACTATTCCCATCAATAAATATATACTTGATTGGGACAGAAGGTTTAGTTTGGTTTGGTTCCACTGTGCAGATAGTCTCTTAGCAGAAAACGCTTATTAATTCTACTTCTGCTTATCAAAACCTTTAGGCTGTGTTTGACTCATGTATTTGGGTGGGGATTTGGAGGGGAAATGGAAAAAATAGGTGAAATGCAACTATGTTTCATTAACATTTCACCTATATTTTTCCTTTCTCTTTCCAAATCTCTACTCAAATCCATGATCCAAACATAACCTTAAGTTATGCACATTAGTACTGCTTTGTACTAACAACATTATGTTATGTGTTTATAATACTTCTTGCACAAAATGCAATATATGCTACTTGATGTCCTTTTTTTTTTTTTGGATCGGTAATCCTGCTAGATGTCTTTGCATTGTAGTGCATTTGATTTATTTGTCACAAACCAGTTCTGTGTTATGTTTATAAAATTCATTGAGCAGCTTATCTCTGGGATAGTATATTCAAAAAAATCTGATCAGAACTTTGTTTGTTGTGTTCTTTTTTATTTTGGGGTACTAAAGAGGGAGGGAAACTGACATGTACTCTGCATGTTAAAATCTGTATAGGCTTAGTAGATTTTTTACTATATTTTTTTGATCCGGAATTATATCTGGTTGCATGTTGAGTTGTAGTGTTTGCATTGATAATATTTTAAGATGTTCAAAGGGATAGGTATAGTATAGATTATCTTTCCTGGCCCCGTTTGGGAACATACTATTATAGTAATTTTTTTTTGTTTTTTACGAAAAAATGTGTAGAAAAATAAAGAGAGTATTGTGACAATTTATTTTGACTTTTTGCCTAAAATATTTAGTCCCCAAACGAGAATCTAATCTTTAATCCTCTTTTATTTTCTACTTTTAGTTCTTTTTCATTTAACGGAGTTCTTTAAGTGCTTTCTGTTGAAATCTCTGCAGATTTCTGCCTTCTGTCTCTGTGAATCTACTTATTTAAAAATGGCTACAAGTGTAACTCCCAGCATGCACATAGCAACCACGAAGCCAAGCATTTATTCATCTTGCCAAGTTTCTAAGCCAGGCACTGCAATCTTCAGTACTGAAATTAATAAAGCATCTTGGACAAGGCTTACTTGCTCTTCTCACATTTCATCAACACAGCCATTTTTCCAAAGCTTACCGTCCAGTCCTGTAAAATTGCAAAAAGTCATTACGAAGGCAATGTCTGAAGCAAGTAACAACAAGCCTGTGTCTGGCTTGCCAATTGATTTGAGAGGTCGGGAATATTTATATTTTCCTTTTTCATTCCATTCAACTTTGTTTTAACACTTAACTGTTTTAAAGATATTTTCTCGTGTTCTTATTGACCACTTCTTTTTTTTCTTCTGAAACAAATTGATTTTGCAGAAAAATTAAAATTTTGAATCAGGCCACAAGTTTATAGAAGTGCTACTCATACTGTAATGTTTAGCTTTCGCCTCTAATAGAGATAGGGAATAAAAACTAATCTTTAATTTAATTGTGTTATTGAAGTACATCCATCAGCCATTCTGGCCTTTATTAAGTTTAGAACTGTTGGCAGGTAAGAGGGCATTTATTGCTGGTGTAGCTGACGATAATGGATATGGCTGGGCAATAGCAAAATCTCTTGCTGCTGCTGGTGCCGAAATTCTTGTTGGGACATGGGTGCCTGTATGTGGATTGAATTAATGCTTTCAGTGATAGTGTGGTTGCAAAAATTCTGATGCACTTAATATTATACTTGGCTCCTAACAAATGTATCATTGTAGGCATTGAACATTTTTGAGACCAGTCTTCGACGTGGGAAATTTGATGAATCGCGCATGTATGACTGAATTTTGTGTTTCCAGTTATTCTGAAATTGATTCATGTTTATGAATTTTCTCTAATAGCAGGAATTTGATATTTCAGGTTACCTGATGGTTCTTTGATGGAGATTACAAAAGTGTATCCATTGGATGCAGTTTTTGACTGTCCTGAGGACGTTCCTGAAGATGTAATTTCCAAAGATTCATGTGATTTCTGCAGTGAACATTTAGAAATCAAATATATTCTTGGTGACAGTGCTATGATATTGTTTGGTGCAGGTGAAAAATAACAAACGGTATGCAGGGTCCTCGAACTGGACTGTTAAGGTATCATTTCCCTTGATCTTCATGCTGTTCGATTAAGCCATTTTATTGCATTCAAGAAATTTACAAGCATAATCACTTATCAAAACTCGCTTAACCGTGCACTATGCATTGTGAATCTTGGCATATGAATTTGTGTGTGGATATTGCTTCCTGATTGCACTTGTGGACCTTGAAATGTATCAAGCAATCAAGCTGACCGAATAGATAAATCAAAGGCACTGCTCTGCTGTTAATTGATTAGTTGAAATATCTTTGCAGGAAGTTGCTGAATCTGTTAAACAGGATTTTGGCAGCATTGACATCCTCGTGCACTCACTTGCCAATGGACCAGAGGTAGAGTATTTGTAATTTTTTGTTATCTATACTATTATTAAGTGCTCGTTTGGCATATGGGTTTGGGTGAGGTTGGGGTTATTTTAGTGACAAAAAGACAATAAGCTTTTTAGCCCAATAAGACAAAATGTCACATCCAAACCATAAACATTTCATTTTTTCTCTCACAAAAGTCAAAAAAGCCAAAAAAACCCACCACAAATGAGGTTTTTTAGCCTCAAGCTAAAAAAGCCAAAAAGTCAAAAAGCCAAAAGGTCAACTCACATCCCAAACACACCCTAAGTGAAGGCCTAAATTGGTTTACTGAAGCATTCTTTTCCTCATGCCATGTGACAACTTTATATATGTTAAAATAAAAAAATTATTATATAGCGTAAGCAAGTTTTGAACCCAAGAGTTTGGGTTTCATTAAGAACATACTTCTCACTTAAGCAGCATACATATTATGGTATTAAATTCTTTATTATTAGTTATCTGAATTGCACACACATCGCGTGTGTCACCCGCTAGTTCTTTTTAAGTTATCTCTCGCTTCCTTGTTTCCTTTGGGTGGTGCTGTTTTACCATCTTCATGGTATTAAAGTGATGACAAACCATGGGCAGGTAAGCAAACTTCTCTCAGAGACATCAAGAAATGGATATCTTGCAGCAATCTCTGCTTCAAGTTATTCATTTATATCTTTACTCAAGCATTTCCTTCCAATAATGAATCCAGGTACAATTCTCCACCAAACCCCCTCCCCCCCCCTTCTTCTCCCCCTTATTCTTCATTGTTTTAAAATCATGGCACTATTGAGTTTGGCTTGTGATTATAGGAGGTGCATCAATTTCACTAACTTACATTGCTTCTGAAAGGATCATTCCGGGGTACATTTCCATTTTATCTTGTTTACTCAATTCTGTCATAAGTCCATCTGACCAATTACACAAGGAGCAAATGCTGTCAATTGAAACGTTTCTACATGCAGATATGGTGGAGGCATGAGCTCAGCAAAGGCTGCTCTTGAGAGTGATACAAAAGTATTTTTTTCCTCCTTCTCTCTCCTTTTTTCCCGCCTCTAGTTTTTCATACTTACCAAATTTAGAATCCTTTATTTCTCATGTTTTTTCTGATGGATTGTCTCATTTCTGTGCCTGATGAAGGTGCTTGCTTTTGAAGCTGGAAGAAAGCACAAAATCAGAGTCAACACAATATCTGCAGGTATACAAATAAATTATTTACAAAAATTCGAAAAGAAACATTATTTTCATTTTTGTTGATCAATTGAGTACTGCTTTAAGTCAATTTTCTGTCATCCAAAGCCCATCGAAGACTCAATTTAAGCAAATCATTCGTATCTGTAAATATTTTCATTTCAATAAAGGAATTGAAGGCCCGAGGCTGACACCTAGTTGTCATACTTCACCATTGATTGGGATTCCATGAATTCAAGTAGTTCAATAGTTTCAAACATTTTTTGATCATCATTTATTGTGTTTGGTTCCATTTTTTTGTGTGACAAATCTTGTCTTCTTGATGCCTGATGGGTACTCAGTCTTCAGAAAATTGAATGAGACAATTCTATATCTGCTGGAGTACATGTTTAACATCTTACTAGTTTTATCCTCTCTTCTTGCATCTTTGTGCTGACATATTAGAATTATATACAGGTCCACTAAGAAGTCGTGCTGCAAAAGCTATTGGCTTTATTGATATGATGATCGACTACTCAATGGCGAATGCCCCATTGCAGAAAGAACTTTCTGCAGGCAAGTCCCTATTACTCTACTTTTTTTTTTTTTTTGAACGTCTTTTACTGTACTTCATTTGGTGTTCCTTAGTGTGTTTTGATTTACCTTTCATTATATCCATATCTATACATGTGTGTGTGCATACCGGGGTGGGACTGGTTGGTTGTTGCTGTGGCAAATGGCAAAAGCCACAGAAGCAACTAAACAGGTTCTCTGCCAATAACACTGTTCACAAATAATTTAAAACCCAAAATAAAAAGGAGACCTAGTGCACAAGGCTCCTGCTAAAGCGTGATTTCACGAGGGCAAAATGTATGCACAGCCTTACTCTGATTTTTGGAGAGGTTATTTTTGTGACTCGAACCCACATCACCAGGGACGCTAGCCACAATCTTACCTTGGGCCAACCTGCATTTCTAATTGTAAACCCAAAATATTTGACTAAAATTGCAATTTGACAGCATTTTCGGTCTTGCTATGCTTTTTAATTTTCTTGAGAAACAAATGTTACAGAGGAAGTGGGGGACACAGCTGCCTTCCTGGTATCGCCGTTGGCTTCAGCAATCACCGGTGCTGTTGTGTATGTTGACAACGGTCTCAATGCAATGGGAGTAGGAGTTGACAGCCCGGTATTTGCAGATCCAGATCTCAACATTCCTAAAGGCAACTAAAGGTAGTGATAACAAATATCTGGTGGCTTTTATTGAAATTTTTTATTAGCAGAAATAAATCTTGGGTGTTCGCTTTCCCGTTTCTCTTTTGTTTGGTTGTATTTGACTGTATCATCTGAGAATAGCTCAGTTCGCATCCCATTTGCAAGGACGATTTGCTTCTTTTTTGTAGTTGCTATTTTGCTGGCGTTATTATGCCGGATTGTGAAAGATGGGTAGTCCTTGAGGATAGTTTGATCCTTTTTTCTTTTCGTAGAAATAATGTCTAATGGTGATTTTGAATGTTTGTTTCTGTTGTATCATATAGTGGTTTGTCATTTGTTATGGTGGGAGGCCTGATTGGTATTGTTTTCATTTTTGTGCAGAAGTAGTTTTCAAAAAAAATTAGAAATACAACTTTAAATTATAAAAAAAAAGAAAAGAAATTCACTTAAGACCAAAAAAGAAAAAAAAAAGGATGGAAGCATTGTTCTTTAGATTTAGGAAATAATAAGTTAAAAATAAGGAGAGTTACGTATAAGTCTTAATGAGTTGATTTATTGCCCAATATGAGTGTATTTTTTGTGCAATAGACCCTGTAAAAATTAATGGCATTTTTTATTAAACATTATTAAAAAACGACACTAATTGTTAATTTTTAGCGACAGATTGAAAATTGTTACAAAAAAGTCACAAGTTATAAGTTTTAGTAATAGTTTACAAAAATTGTCACAAAAAGATGTTACTAATTTTTAACTTTTAGCAACAGTTTAAAATTTTCATCACAGAAAAATAGCATTAACGGTAAGATTTAGCGACAATTTATAAAAATCGTAAAAAAAAAAATCATTAATCGTCAATTTTTAGCGATGTATGCAAAAAAAATTTTACAAAAAATTATTTTTAGCGATGATTTTATTAAGATTTATTTTTAATAGGATTTGATAGGAATTAAGTTAAACTATTAAGACCTATTGATAGTTTACCCTAAAAATAACTTGGTTAAAAAACTCTAGGAAAAGAGAGGTCGAATTGGCTGAACTCTAGATTCAATCATCAAACTATTAACCAATTAGGGCATGGCTTCTGTCCATTAAACAGGTAGTATGCTAATTCAACTAGCCAATTCAATTCGACTCAAAAGATTCCTATATAGATTCGTATAACATTGTAGTAATTATAAAAGCATAAATATGAATACGTTGAAATACATGAAAAACCCTCAGAACAATAATAATAAAGTAAAATATAGGCATCCATGTCGGAGTATAAACTATCAACTAAACAATCGTTTCAATACAAAAGTCTAAAAAAAAATAAAGAATAAAGAAAAAGGACTTACAAAAACCTTAAATTTGTTTTAATCTCTATTTGAGTGGTAAGCAGATCCATTTTTGCTAATTCGCACGTGACTGCTACAAATCCGCACCTTGTTTGGTTTACAACATAGAAACTGGTTTTGATTTTTTGTTTTTTTGTTTTTTTTTTTTAAAGTAGGAATTTTTCATATTTTAGTTCCTTTTTTTAAAAAAAATAAAATTTAGATGCGACAAACAAATTTTAAAAAAAACAACTCATTTTTTTGTTATTTTTCTCTTTCTTTAATGATTTTTTTTTTTTTCAAAATTTGTTCCAAATATTTTACTTTTTCAATGTATCTAGAAAGTGTTAAAAAAAGAATAAATATGAAAAAAAAAAGGGTTTACTAATATGAAAAATTAGGTGCAACTTTTCATTATTTGTGAAAATTTTTTGAACATGTTTAATTAAATAAGTTATCATATAACCAACTAGGCCTAGTCTAGTTGGTCATCATGCCTTCCTTACAGCTTAGTCCTGAGGAAGTTATGGGTTCAATTTCCCTTAAGGGAATTGAATTAAGAGAGTGTAAGTACTTAGGTATTTTGCCAAGAGTAAAGAGATTTTCTCCTATAGACGCTAATCTAACAATTAATAACTAACATTTGCTGGTAAAAACAAATATATATATAATTTTTTTTATCATAAAAATATTTAGAATGATCTCAAAAGTTATAATTAAGATAACTTATAAAAAATTATAAATTATAGTACAATTATCGTTAAATTTTTTTTTTTTTGATTATAAGTCTCAATACAATCGTTCTTAAAAATAATTTTTTAAGACAATTTTTTACACGTCACTAAAAATTGACAATTACTGACTTTTTTTGTCATGATTTTTATAAATTGTCGCTAAAAGTTACAATTTGTGATATTTTTCTGCAATGAAATTTTCAAACTGTCGCTAAAAGTTAAAAATTAATGACGATTTTTTTAAACTGTTGCTGAAAATTAACAATTGTAACATTTTTTAATAGTATATAATGAAAAATGCCATTAATTATTATAAGATCTATTAAAAAATAAGTTTACTTAGGCCAAGTTTGGGAAGTTGCCAAAAAATTAAAAAGTCAAAAAGTTACTCAAAAAGTTAGCACTATTCACCAAAAGTCAAAAATTACGGCTGCACAACTCCCGATCCTAATTTTTCCCTATATACTAATTTATATAATTTTTTAATGGCAGTGGCTTTGGCCCAGTCCAAGATCGGACTGGATCGTGCTGTTGGGCCATGGGGGCCCACCACAGGTCCCGTTTTGATAATCCGAATCGTTCAATGTATAGAACTCGTCGAGTACTATATGCCTATAAAAAATCATGTTGATCGGATATCGATAACTATGTGAACAAAATAGTTTTTTATCAACCGTTAATTGTTTCACTGTCCATTTTTTTATACAAAACTGATTTGATCACATAGCTATCGATATCCGATCAACGTGATTTTTTACAAGCATATAGTACTTGACGAGTTTTACACATTAAATGATTCAGATTATCAAAACGAGCCCAAAAAATGGGTCCTATGGGCCGAACTGGACAGGTCCAGTCTTGATCTCAACTTGAGACAAGCTGGACCCTTTTTTAATACACATTTTTTCATAAGAAGTCAAAAAATTAACCCAAACAACTATATTTTTTTTTTCAATTTTTTAATCTTAAAAGACAAAAAGTACACTTATTTAGGACACCCCAAACAACCCCTTAATAAGGCATACACTTAGGTCCTCCAAAAAGTACTAATAGCCAAAAAAAAAAATAAATAAATAAAATAAAATATTCAATCACATAACCCTTTATATTTTTTTTCACGTCTTTACTTAAAAATCTAAAAAATTAATTAAAATAATCACTTTTCAAACACCCTTTAAATTGTATAGTTTCAATCAACCAATCAATATCAAGTTGGAGCACTACATAGGCATGAGCAGAAAATCATTTATCCCAACATCAACATTGAGTGATTGTTTGGTGATATTGAAACATTGCTCCATACCATTTATTATTTGACACTTCTTAATTTATTCCTATAAAATTCCAATAAAAAAATATTGGATTGTACAGTTTTAAAATCAATCAATATATTATAATGCGACAGTGATAGAAAATTCTAAGTATATAGTACTAAATGGTGCTCTATACAATTGGCAGTGAGAAAAAGAAAAAAAAAAAGAAAAAAAAAGGAGACAAATCATAATGAAAAAAAAGACGGATTAGAACTTTTTTTTTTTAGAACTCTGAAACATTTTCCATTAGAATATCTCATGACATTGTCTTCAGAGCAAAAAAAAAAAAAAATTCTTTCAATATTAGGGGTGAGTATGGTCCGGATTGAACCGGATTGGGGTAAAACCAGGACCAATCTGTTATTTACGGTTCCTGAAAAATTGGAACCAATCCAATCCATTTAAATTATGGAACCAATCCGAACCAATCCATTTAAATACAGATTGGATCGGTTTAGGATCACGAATTCACATAATTAAATAACAAAAATATATATATAACACTTGAATTTCATAAAAATATAAGCATAGCGCTATATTAGTTCCATAATAACAATATATTTTTCTATAATAACGACATACTGTTCTAAAATTTAAACAACCATAAGAAAATTAGTTTCACCATAAGTATTTAGACCATTGCAAATTAAAACTTAAAACTAACAAACAAAAGTAATAAAAGAAGATATTATACGGTTTTAGGTTTGAGTTTAGATTTTATCTAGAATAAGAGAAGATACTATAGGGGAGGATGTATAATAAAAATATAGACTATTTGTATACGGTCCGGATCGGTTCCAATCCGAAACCGTGGGATTCAATCCGGAACCAATCCGTGAACTACGGATTTTTAATTCTTCAATCCGGAACTGAACTGCGGATTCAAAAAACCAATTCAAACCTATCGGATTGGACTGGACTGGATCGGATTACGGATTTCACAGATTTCTTACTCAGTCCTATTCAATATCAACAAGGAGGGATTATTTGGTAATTTTGAAATATTACTCCAATCATTTACGATTTAACATTTGTTAAGTTATTTTTCAAAAACAAAACAAAAAAAAAATTAAATTAAATCTCACAATAATATTTAAGTTGGGGGAAATAGGATGGTATACACTTCTCCAAGTGTACCGTATATACCTTATAATTAAAAAAAATGACATAATTTTATATTTTTTGATTCATAATTAAAAAAAAATCACAACCAAATAACACATGAGTCATAACTAAGATAAAATTAGAGTTAATTATCTAAAAATCCTATTTACAAATGTTATGATAGTTTAGATCTTATCTATGATTTTTTGAACTAATAAGTCATATTTAGTAAAATCTAGAATATTATCAGTTTTTCTTAATTTTTAAAATTAAGAATATTAGTGTTCCAAATAATTGTTTTACTAACTGATAAAAAAAAAAACAGAACATGAGATTAAACATTTTTTCCCTTCTACTTATTGGTTTGATTCAACTATCCAATAAAATCGAGAACATTATCAGGTTTTTTCAATTTTAAAATTAAGAATATTATCAATTTTTTCATTAATTTTTTTTTTATAAAAGTTTTACACATCAATGTTCCATCATCATAATCCTTTATAAATACAAAATTTTCAGTTTTGCATAAAAAAATAATTCAAAAACTTATTTATTTATTTATTTATTTTGCATATAATTTTTTCGAAGTTTTTTTCAATTTGAAAGTTCATGTTATAAAGTTTTAAAAATCAAAATAAATGTTAAATTATCATGTTTATTTATAGATAATCATAAATGATGAACAATCATTATTTGAAGAATAATTTCGATTATTAAAAATTTAATGAAATTTAAATGTCTAAAAAATTTTAGTTAAAACTTGATAGAGTATAAGTTTATAAATTAAGACTTATGTGTAAATATTTTATAAAATTATAACTAAAAAAAATTAATTATAGTTAAAAAAATAACAAAACTTGAAGATGCATGTGA